GAGATAGATTTATTTTACCACGTGAGGTAAGTTATTCTCTTCTGCTCAACGGCTCTGTCCAGTTTTTGAAGAGCCTAAAATAAAAACGGAATGATTGAAAATAATACATATGCAAGTCTGGAATTTCAATAATGAGCATTTAAGACACGTTTGAATTGAATAAGTTAAGACGCACGGTGTATCTAAGACACACGTTTGAATTTAATGAGTATCTAAGACACGTGTGAGTTTAATGAGTATCTAAGACACGCTAGAATTTAATGAGTATTTAAGACACGCTTCAATTGAATAAGTTTTGAAGACACGTTTCAATTAAATAAGTATCTGACGCATACTTAAACTGAATAAAATATAGAAAGTACGCTTGAATTTAATGAATATCTAAGACACGCTCAAATAGAAGTATAAAAGACACTTTTGAGTTGAATTTGTATCTAAGATGTGTTTGAATTGAATAAATATCTAAGTTGCGCCTTATTTGAATAAGTATCCAGCAAGTTGGATACTTATTCAAATAAGGATACTAATTTACACTTTAAATGAATAAGTATCGAATACTTGCTTGAATTGAATTAGTATCTAAGACATGCTTGAGTTGTTGAAAGTATAAGAAAGAACAACGTAATTAAAATTTCAAAGATGAAGAAAAAAAAGATTTTTCTTCTTTGATTCAAAAATTGAACTTAAAATAATAGTATGCATACTTTTGGACTTGGCTATTGGATGTTTAGTTTCTGACCTAAAAAACATTGTTTTTAGGTTGACAATAATGAAATAAGTTATGTATTGACGATTTTATTATATAAAATTATGTATTATGATATTAATGTATTATTTAAGATTTATATTCCTGGATGATTGTTCAATTATTGATTTCATCAACAAGTCAGATACATAAATAAATATAAATCAAGCATTGCACTTTTTGTTCATAAAATCCTTATAACTTTTATATTGTCCTATCGTCTCATTCGGTAAGAATAATTTAATTCTCACCTATTTTCCCTCTCCTAGGAAACCTGACAGGAAGGTCGTGCAACTTTTTACCAATTATTAAAAAGAGGGTACATAATTTTTCGCCTCCAAGTATTTTTGTTTTATTTTTTATTTTAAGTTAAAATCCTATGAGACCATTTATTTTATGCTTGTTTCTTTTTATCATATGAATGAGAAAGAAATTACGTTTTCCTTATTTTATTATTATAATCATCATCATTAACACCCAAATGAATCAACTAAGTGGTCTCAATTGTTCTTTCAATAATTTTCAATTCTTCTCTCCCCTCAAAGCATTGGTTTTATGCTCATGAATATAATTATTTAACTTCTTTTCCACTGTATTCAGATTTTGTACCTTCGACGCAAATAGAACACCGGGCTCCTTTTTAAATATTTTTTTCTGACGCTCTAATTACAAACGAAAATATATTTTGGTATTTTTTTAGTATAAAAAACTGTCTAATAGTTACTGAAAAAATATGATCTGCTAGATTATTGGAATTATATTTTTACTAAAATATAAGATCCAAAAAAAGTAGTTTGAATTTTTTTTTGTATTCATATTAAAAAATGCATCAATAATTGATTGATGTATCAATAATTGACTAGAGAAATTTCAATGATGAAAAACTATTTCGTATTAGATATAGATAAGTGCAAATTAAAAAACTAATACTATATTAATTAATAAATCATATTAATGTATATAATTAGTATAATATTTTTTGATACGTTTAAATTTGTTTGACAGAGAGCGGTGTTTGAAAGATTTTAATTTTAAAGCAGAAAAAGAAACCGATGCTTCATGCTGTATTTCATAACCATAAATTATGATATTAAAATGCTAAATATAATTTCCGCTTATTTCAACTTAATGCGAAATAATTAAAAAAATACGAAAAATATCTTTAATAAAAATTTTGTGCCAAAGGGAAAACATCACGTGCTTTGTTACAAAACAGATCTGAGACGAATCACACCCCGAAATCGACGCGAACTTAAAAGTTTTAAATAGTTTCTTAGCACTGTCACAAGATTTTTCGCTAACTTTAAAAAATAAATAAATTTGTTTTTGTTTTTTGGCTTTTAAATACTATTGTTTTCTATGTGGCCACTTAAAGATTAAGAAGTCAACGCGAATTCGATTTTCATTTGTCTGAATGCTAAATAACGTTGTGCTCTTTCGAATTTATTACATACCGCAGCATATTAATCCTTTTGACGTAGATTTTTCCTTAAACATATTCTTCATACTTTTCTCATTATTTTGATTCATTTTAAATCAAAATAAGTGAAAAATATTATATTTATCATTTTAATAAATTTTGGTTATGAAATACAGCACCGGACGCCGGTGTCTTTCTATGCTTTAAAGGTAAAATCATCCAACGCGCCTCACTTCCAAGAGATTTTTCAAATATTCACTCATTTGCTTCAAATTAGATCTGAAAGAAGCAGTTCATAATTGAAATAATTAATTTACAATCAATATTTGATTGACAAAATCAATTATTGATAAAATGAATTATTGATAAAAGGAATACGAGTGAGAAAAAAAATTCAAAATATTTTGTTTAGAATTTTATATTTCAGAGCAAATAAAATTCCGAAAATCTAACAGATTATTTTTAATGACTATTAGATTGTTTTTCTTAATTAAAAAATATCAAAATGTATTTTCACTTGTAATTAGAGCATCAGATAAGAATATATAAAAGTGACAACTGCTCCAAAACGTTAAGTAATAACGGTTATAAGTACACAGAATTGTGGATTCAGGGAGGTTTTTTTTGACGCACTATAGAGAAAAAAAATATACATCTTTTTCAATATACAAGTATCATACAAATTATAAAAGGTATTAAAGTATTATAAAAGTTATATAAGAATAAATGTAAAGAATACATCAAGAAAGCGCTTATCCATTTTATCTTCCCTCCAGTAGTCTTCGTTATCGATTTCTAAAACCATCCACATAACGACAGTTTTCAAGTAATAAGAGGCCAAACATTTCCAGTCTTCTTTATCTCGCAGTAGCTATAAATCATAATACAACATACTAAAGCAACAGTATTTATAAAAGTCAAGAATACTATTTAGGCCGGGGTAGCCTGGTTGGTAGGGCGCTGGATCCATGCCCAAGAGTTCGAGTGTTCGATCCCTCGAACTCTTGGAATTTTTTACGACGATTTTCTTGGAATTATTACGACACGAGGAGTCCGAAGGCTCCTCGTGTCGTAAATGGTGACTGATGCACATTAAATCTATCGAGTAGCTAAGTCCTCCATGCTCCCATACAAATCAAAAGCTCTTGGGGTACTGATACAGGAGTTTCCTTGTCTTTTGGATTAATTCAAAATTACAAGGCTATGGAGTTGAACATTAGTAGTCGTAAACCCAAAATTGGGTCGGCTGTTCAACGACGGATATAAAAAAAAGAATAGTGTTTAATACTCATTTGAAGACGGAAATATCCGGGCCGTGGTAGCCCAATGATTAGACAATCGGACTTAATTTGCTGAAGTCAGTGTAATGGCTGGCTAGCTTGGCTTGTCCAAGTGTCAGTAAAAACAACAGAAATTATCAAATCATTAAAAAATTTAAAATGTTAAAAAAAACTACTTTGTTATTAAATTTCTTTTTAGTCCTTAAACTCCAAAATAATGTTATACTTTGTATCAAATATAGAAAATATTTCTCGAAGTTATTAATTTCTATTTGTAAAACCATTTTGGGACTTGTAAAGTTAGATTTCATCAATCGGCTTCGATGAGAGAACCATATAAGATTTCTTTTGAAATTTTCCTCATAATTGTCTCTCTAACTGAGAATTAATAACCACTTATGAATTGCCCATCTGTGGTTTGGAGCAAAACACCACGGATTTTATTTAGGCAATGAGATAGATTTATTTTACCACGTTTATATAAACTTGCCTTCGTGTATGTCTGTCCGGGTGGAATTTTGTAATCGATTTTAAACTAACTTCCCGACTAGCTACAAACTTCAAATTTAGCACACAGTTCAGAATTGGATGACAATGCATGAAAACGAAGAGAAAAAAGACATGCAAAGTAAAATAAAATTAAA